CCTATAATGAAAAAGAATATGAAAAGGAATATATGTATGTTCATGTATGGCTGAAGTATTGTGCTGCAAACCAGAAATTGACACAACATTGTAAACTGACTATACGTTAATAAATATATATATATATATATATATACACACACACACACATACATAAATTCAAAAAAAGAAAAGAAATGATACTTGATTTGTGAAGGTGACACAGTAGCACAGGAAAAGAAAATTCATACTGTAGAGGACAGGGAACTATATTCGATATCTTGTAGTAACCTATAATGAAAAAGAATATGAAAGGAATATATGTATGTTCATGTATGGCTGAAGTATTGTGCTGCAAACCAGAAATTTGACACAACATTGTAAACTGACTATACGTTAATAAATATATATATATATATATATATACACACACACACACATACATAAATTCAAAAAAAGAAAAGAAATGATACTTGATTTGTGAAGGTGACACAGTAGCACAGCGAAAAAAAATGATGGTTGTTTCAATGCTGGGTCATGTGGATATCCATATTCAAAAATAAAAATGAATCCCTAACTCACAGCATACACAAAAAATCAGTTACAAGTAGACTGTAAGTCTCAAGGTAAAAGTTGAAACAATAATAGTTACAGAAGATCACTTAGGGGAATATTTTCATCACTTGGGACTTAGGAAAAGTTTTTTTTTAAACTAGATACAGAAAAAATCCCACTAATCACACAAGAAAAGATGAACAAATAAGAGCTACTAAAAATTAAAGATTTTTGTTCATCAGTGGCACCATCAAGAGAATGAAATGGCAAAGCAGAAGGTGGGAGAAAAAATCTGCAACACAAGGAAACAGCATGGTTTGTATGCTGCATATATAAAGAACTTCTTCACACTAGACAGTAAAAGACCGACAATCTAATGGAAAAATAGGCAAGAACTACACGTCAATTAAAAAAAAAAAAGAAAAAAAGGCAAGAGACCTGAACTAGCACATCATAAAAAAGGTTAATAAACATATGAAAATATTCTCATTCTCATCAGTAATAAAGAAAAATGCAAATTAATCCACTATATACCCAAGAAGATAGTAAAAATGGACAAACAAAACAAAAACAATTGTGTTGCTAAAAATAAAAAGTAACCAACTCTCAAGCATTGCTAGTGAGAGGATAACGATTTGACATCATCTCCTGAAACTGAATAGAGGCATAGTCTATGACCCAGCAATTTTACTCCTATGTCTATATCCAAAGGAAATACATATGCATGTGCACCAAGAGACATGCACAAGAATACTGACAAAAACATTATTCTTAAGAGGTGAAAACTGGAAACATTCCAAATATCCATCAACGATAGAATGGTATATCAATCCTTATATAGTTATAATATTATAAAACAGTAAAAATTAGCAGACAACTGCTATATGCGACAAAAATAATGCTGACCCATAGTATCAACAAATACAGTGTATGATTCAAATATATATACATATATATATATATATATATATATATATATATAAAGTATACAAAAGTCAAAGTTAAACTATGGTGTTAGCAGGATAGTGTTTATATTTGGGGAATTAAAAAGGACTAGAGATTGGGAGAAGGAAGAAGGAAGGCCTCTGGGGTGTTAGTAATGTCCTATTTTTTCACCTGAGTGATAGCTATACAGAAATTGTAATAATCTGCCAAGCTGTACACCACTGATACCCAGCCACAAGCGACTTTTATTCAGGGCGCGTTTGGCCACGTCTGGAGGAATTTTTCATTGTCACAACTGATATGGGGAGGAGAGCTACTGGCATCTGGTGGGTAGAGGCCAAGAATGCTGCTAAACACTTTAGAATTCACAGGACAGACCCTCCCTCCCACACACACAGAGTCATATTGCCAAAAATATCAGTGACGTTGAAATTAAGAAACTGTGTTGTACGCTTATCATTTGTGCCCTTTTAACTCTAGTTTAAAAAAAGCCATGTGCATAGGTTTTCATAAAATAAAAAAAAATTTAAAAAAGGAGGCTAGTCT